GCGGCACTGGCGGAACGCGGCAGGCGGTGCGCGAGCCCGGCGCTAACCAGCGCTGCGCGGACTACCACTCCCGTGGTGCACCGCGCCGCCACGGGCAGGCAGTGACTTTGGCTCCCGTGATGCACGGGACGGGTGGGAAGAGTCGGCGACTTCAACTCCCGTGGTGCACCGCGCCCCTCAGCGTCACCAGGCCCTATCCAAGCCCGGGATGCCTTGCGCTTAAAGGGGCCGCGCCGGCGCTCGGTGAGGGCGTGGCTGTGGATCCGTTCGGTCTCCGTTCCCCCTCCCCCCGCCGCGGCCGTTGGGACGGTTGTCGCCGATGACGTGGCAGCGCCCGCCCTGTCTCCTCCCCTCCACGCCCTCCTCGGCTTCTCCCGCTGCAGGTGTGGGCGGAAGCGGCAGCTGGAGATGCGGGCGGTGCCCGGGATCCGTCGCCGCGGTAGGAGCAGGCACGCGACGCCTTGCCGGGGGACGGGGGGGCCTACACAGCCTGGGGCCCCTGGGAGCGGGGGCAGCTGGGCTTGGCTCTGGGGGGCACCTGTGTAAGGAGCAGAGCGAGGCTGGGGGATGGGGGGGTCTGAGGGCCTTGTGGCCCCTGAGGCTGTTGATGGGCATCAGCGTTACCTTGAATTTTGAAAGCCACACCCTGGAAACCTCCTCTGCCTGCCCCCACTTACCACTAGAGGCCCGGTGAGCTGGGGGCAGGACTAGGAGCTGTTGCTGTGACTCGTCACCGGGCCAGGGGCAGAAGTTGCACACAAACCGGTTTAAGCAATTAGGAACTGGTTTACACCTGTAACGGAGCAGAAGTTCAGCACACGTAAACCTCTTTCAGAGCAGCCAGAACCGGTTGAAGATCAGCCTGATTGGAGGTCAGATCTGGCTTCACTGATTTAGGTCAAACTGTTTGATGAAACTTGTGATTGAGGGAGCTGGGGGCCCACTCCGCTCTGTGAGTGGCCAAGAGAGCCTGGGATCCTGGAGGGTTTCAGCACCTTTAATGGAAGGGGAGCTGGGTCTGGCAGATCGGAGATGATCCTGCCCTTGAGTGTTGTCACATTGAGCCGCATAATGAGTGCTTAAAACCGTTTTAAGTTGTTAATGTGCAGACAATCCAGCGGTTAAGAGGTCCAGTAGCTGCCCAAAATGACTGTAACAAGGCCCTGAGAGAGGAGGGAGTGCGAAAGAGCTGGGGAGTTCATGGCTGAGGGTCCCTACCTCATGCTGGTATTTCAGGATGGATTAGAGACCAGCTCAAGAGTTGTCAGGCATTTTCAAGCACTAGGTTTATAGCTTTTTATCTCTGGATTGTTCTTCTTTATCAGGTGATAATTACTTTGCAGGTGTGGCCTGGCACTTGCCAGTGAGTTGCTGATATATGTACTGTGTTGCAGGGGCCTACAGCTGGTTGACTTGCTTTATAACTGGGTAGTCATTTTGACCATGTGATGATACTTTTTATGCGAGACCCATCTAGATGTAGTGCCATGGTTCACTGGTTCAGTCTGTGATAATTACTCTGTGCTTATGGCCAGTCTCAGTTAGCCCAGGTCTAAACGTATTGCACAGTTCACAAGTTAATTGCATGATATATGTAACATGTGTGTGGCAGGGGTCTGAGAGAGACATTATTAACTGCACAACTGCCTGCTGTCCAGCAGAAGGGTAGGCAGTAGTTTGAGCCTTTTCTACCTGCTCAAGGAGCTCTTTCAGTGACCTGAGGATCAGAGCGGGCTCCTACAAGAGATTGAAAGAGGTGCACCCTGAGGCAAGAGCCCTTAAATCATATAAGGGTAAAATCAGAGGGTGCATTCAAACGTGGACACATGTAGGGGAATATGTTTCCCACAGCATAAATAGCAGCAGCACATATTTGTGCCACTGTTTTTTGCTCCAGGGCATGCCCTGCGTGTCTGCTCTAGTGCGTGGCAAATTGTCCCAGGTGGGGTAGGGGTCCCAGCAGTCTTACTGGGGACCTCCCAGCGCAGCAGTGGTGCTGATCCAGCCGCCTGGGGCAGCCAGGCTTCATTTCTGGTGGTGCATGCTGCTGCTGCATGTGTGACCCTGCTTTTTTTTTTTTTTCTGTGGCTTTTTTGACACCGAGACCCCCTGGTGTCAAATTTTGGCGCTGCGCAGTAAATTAGCAGTATGGTGAATGGGTCCACTTGTGCTGCGTATGGTTTGCAGTGCCTTAAACAGCTTTGAGGTACTGCAAACCACGTGTGTGTGCTTGTCTGGAGGTGCTCAGAAAGGCTAAGGGCAAAACAGGTTAAAATTAGCAAGGGCATAAAAGGCAACCAGAAGAGGAAAACAAAGGGGAGTAGGGATCTGTTATGGAATGGGTGAACTAGTGACAACAGGGAACACAAAGAAGGCTGAAGCTAGGTCCATCACTGAAAAAGGCACTTTTTGGATTCTTAATTAAATGACATCTTAACAGGATGCTGGAAGGTCTTGCCAGAGCTTGTAAAGAACAGGTTTAGGAATATTTAGGTAAGATAGTTATGTTCAAGATGACTAAAATCATCCTACAGTGAGTAAGAAACTAGCTAAAGTAATCTCCGAACCATCAGTGATTATCTTTGAGAATTTGTGGGGGGAGGGCAGCAAGATCCCAAAGGATTGGAGAGGGGCAAGCAAAATGCACATTTTTCCTTTTTGTTGAAAGGACCAGCCAGCTTAGCTTTGATCTCTGGAAAGGTCCTGGAACGAATATGTAAGCAGTTAACTTGCAAGTACCTCAACAATGAATGAAAAGAAGACTGTTACAAGTTTGTCAAGACCATCTTGTCAAACCAATCTCATTTTCTTCATTCACAGGGTAACTGGCTTAATGGATAAGAGAGCAGTAGATGAGAATTTTCTTAACTTTTTTAAGGTATTTGGCACTATCCCAAGTGACATCTTCATGAACAAGCAAAAGAGGAAGATGTCTACATGTAATCATAATCAGGTGAGTATAAAATTGGTGGAAAAATTGCTCTCAAAAAACTACTTATCAATTGTTTGCTGTTGAACTGGGAGGGCATCTCAAGTGAGATCTTACAGGGGGCTTTTCTGGCTTCAGTTCTGCCTGGTATTTTCATTAATGATTTGAGGGCTGGAATAAAAAAAATGCTTTTATAAAAATTGTGGATCACATTAAATTCACCCTCCCCCCTGGGGGTGCATGCAGCAGCAGGAGCTGCTGCCCCTCCCCACCTCACCCCAGTGAGCCGCCTGCAGCTCTGTCCTCTGCTTTGGCTGTGCAGCACCTGCCCCAGCCCCACTCCTTCCCTTTCTGTGGAGGCCTTGATCTGCCCCCCCATGCCCCTTCCATCCCACCTAACCCTGACTTACCAGCCAGACACTGCTCTCTAAGCTGCCAGGCTGCATATTGGCTATCAGATCGGTATTGGTTGATTATTTCTGGTTAATAATCAACGATCGGTATCGGCCAAAAAAATCTTTATCAGTACACCCCTATGAAATTGTATAAAGATAAATGCAAAGTGCCAAGTTTAGGGAAGAAAAATCAAATGCACAAGTCCAGTGTTGGCAGAAAAGCTGTGGCTTGCAAAGAATCACTCAATAACGGTGAATCATAATTTTGAGTTTCAGTGAATCACCAATATTCTGATTTTAGGGGAAGCTAATTTCAGCACAGCCCACAGTGAAAGGAATTATGTGTGGCAGGTAATTATCTGTTCTAGTTGGTGTGGGTGAGGGTGGCATGGCTTTGGCATTGCATTTTAAGAAAAACAAACTAGAAAGCCCCTAGTTGACAGCAACGAGATTGAAGACACATTTAGAAAACATAACCAATGAGGAATAGTTTAATGGGTGGGGTTTTTCTCCAGAGAAGAGAGAACAGAAGTAGGACAGAGTTTTCCTATCTCCAGGCAAGCTTGTGTTCAAATATTAACACCTTGTATATTAACGAAGGGAGAGAGTAACAAGTCCTGTAAGTGGTGACCAGACATAAGCCAATGTAGACTCCACTGAAATTATCTCATGATCAGGGATCCTGCTTTCCTTTGTTTAAAAATCCAAAATTATCTGATTTAAAAACTCCCAAATCCACCTTTTTCCACAATTAAAATGAAATGCCACCATATATGTATGTATCAGTTGAGCACAGTGTTTTATTGATATATTTAGTTTTAAAGCAGTTTGGAAGCCTTCCAGTACCTCAATCATTATAATAAAATAAATTTTAAATACCTATATATTTTGGTGTTTGATTTTGTTATTTTTTTATCCTGAAAAATAAGAGTTCCCCCTGTCCCCTTCACTCATCAGGACATGGGTCTAGCTGTGGCTATTCCGTTGCCCGCCCCCCTTTTTTTGTGCTGCTGAGCAGCCCTGATAGGCCAGTGCCTCCCTCTCAAGCCACAGCCCCCTCTAGCCCTGCCATCATGACCCATACCTCTCTGCGCTACCACCTCCATCCCTGCCAGCAGACCTGGCCTTAGGGATGGGCAGCGAGGGCAACTGTCCAGGGTACTGAGGTGGGGAGGGAAAGGGGGTGTCACAGCACCCTCAACGTGGCTCAGGAAGGGGCGGAGGCGGCAGCAAGGAGCCAGGGGTGCTCCTCATTCCCAACCCCAAGCCCCCTGCTGCCCCCTGCCCTGCTGGAGGGGGCCTCTAGTCCCCCAGTGTGTGGAGCAGGGGGGTGTTGGTGTGGAGTGGGGACTGTGTGGAGCTTGGTCCCTGCCTTGATGGCGCCTGCTGCTCCAGACTTACCAGAGCTTGGCCGCTGATGGCCTGTACCAGCCCCATGCCATTGGGGCCATGTGCCAACCTCCGGTGTGCCTGGATCGCCCCTGTACTATTGGGGGGCACCCAATGGTGTGGGGCCATTCTAGGCCATCAGGGGCCAAGCTCTGGTGAGCCCAAACTGACCCTGCACCATTAGGGAGGCCCCCTGATGATACAGGGGTGATCTGGACATGCCTGTTAGCAACATGTTGGGAGACCATGGGGGGAGACATGCTCCCCCAGATTCCTGTGGTGCACAGGGCTGCAGTCTGGCCGGATTGCTAGACTTGATGCCGCTGCTGCTGGGAGCCATACTGCTGCTGCCAGGAGCCCCTCACTGGGCAGCACCCCCAGGCACACCCCCACTGCCAACCCTGTCCTGAGGGTACCCGGTCTGGCAGATAGGGGAGCAGTGCACACTCCCTCCCTCCTTCGCTAACTGTTGCCAGTACCTCAATCTAGGGGCACAGGGCTGCAGCCTAGCTGGACCCAACGCCCCACAGCAAAGGGGTGGCCATGGCAGCATGGAGTTTCATAGATTTCATAGACGTTAGGGCTGGAAGAGACCTCATAAGATCATCAGGTCCAACCCCCTGCCCAAGGGGCAGGAAGTCAGATAGGGTCAAAGGATCACAGCAAGATGAATGTCCAAATGTTTCTTGAAATAGTCCAGAATAGGTGCTTGCACCATCTCTGGGGGGAGTTTGTTCCAGATCCTGATGGACACCTCTTATGTACTTATAACTGCCACCCAGTCACCCCTGAGCCTGCACTTCTCCAGGCTGGAGAGTCCTATAGCTCACAGCCTCTCTTCATAAGGCCTCTTCTCTTGTCCTCTGATCATGCATGTAACTCTCCTCTGGACTCTTTCAAGCTTCTTCATGTCCTTCCTAAGTTGTGGAGCCCAGAATTGGGTGCAATACTCCAGCTGTGGCCTCACCAAGGCCAAGTACAATGGGAGAATGACATCCTGGGTCTTGCTTGAAATGCATTGGTAGGAAGTTGTGCCCTCTACTGTGCCCTGCCACACATTGCTTATGCCCCACACATCCCCCAGAGTTATCTGCAGGGAGGAGCTCCCACCACCCTGCCTGACTGTATTGCTAGGTGTGTGTGTGTGCACATGCACATTGCACCCCCTGCCTTCCCTCCCCCCAGACCCAAGCAGCTCCTTTCAGGCTGGAACTCTGCCAGCTTGCAAGGGGAAGCTTGTGGTTTCCCACTTTAAATTGGAACATCTGGGTCTTTTTCCTTTAAAGGGGGACATTGTTTTTTTCTGTGGGCAATGGAAAACCCAGATCCCTGCTCATAGTATTCCACCTCACTTGTTTCATTTGAACTTGTGGGGGGAAAAAAGCCCTGGGATATTCCTTGAAGGTAGCTGGTCCAGAGGTGGGCAGTTATTTGGGCTGGAGGGTTACTTTAATGAGTTTTGGTGAGCTGTTGAGGGCTGTACACATGTGCAGTTCCTGGCCCCAGGCCATTTCCCCCATGCCTCACTGCAAGCCAACACCTGCAGCCCAGCCCACACCGTCATCAGGGCTCCTGGTGTGTGCACTCCACCCTGCAGTTCCCAGGAGCTCTGATGGCAGGGCAGGGCAGAACAGCATGAAGGCCTGTGGCCAGGCTTCATCCCCCATGTGCAGGAGCTGGATGAGCCACACTCAGATGCTGGCAGCTGCTGGGTACAAGCAGCCCCACCTGCCTACCCAGGACTGTGCTGTGGCTGAAGCTGGAGCCATCATGGTCTGAACATGGCTTGGATAGGGCCTTTCATGGTGCCAGGTGGGTAGGGTTACTTCTGCCCAGCATCCCACAGTGCCTGGGAGATGCAGTCCAGCCCTGCAGGCCCTGGGTGCCTCCTGCAATAGAGACTGGGGCCCGAGTGTGACTTGGCCAGGGCTTATGGGGCTAGAATGAATTTCCTAGGTGCCACAGGGGATGCTGGGTGGAAGCAGCCCTGTGCACCCAACACCATGTGGAAGCTATGCTCGGACTCTTTCTTCTGCTGGTGGGCAGCAGCTCTGGCTCCAGCCTCTGCTGGCACTGGGTGGTGGTGGGTGGGTGGGACTGCTTTTGCCCAGTGTCCCCTGGGGTGCCAGCTGGAGCTGGAGCTAGAGCTGCTGCCCACCCCACCCACCAGCAAAGGTGAGAGCGTGGCTCACCCAGGGCCTGCCACACGGTGCTGTTTTCCATCTGCGGGCCAGATAAAATCAGTTGGTGGGTCGGGTCTGGCAACGGGCCATATTTTACCCACCCCTGAGCTTATCTAAGGCTTCCTGAAACCGACATACATGAATTCCAACAGCATGGTGTAATGGAGCATTGAGCAACTATTTCCTTCTAATTTATCAAGGACATTGCAATCTCTAATTCTGGAGTCAGCAGCCTTTTGCCAGCATAGACTGTGGGTTACAACCCAGGCCTCGTTGAGGGCTACAACCTGGAGCGGACAGCTGCCTGCACTTACACTCTTCACTGATTTCTAACCCCTGTCCATCAAGGATCAGTGCAGACATGATGGAGCAGCAGTCTCTGTAGCGGAGAGAATAGGTGGCATGGTGCAGCTCCTGTGCCAGATCAGATTTTTGAGGCCACTGATCCCCCGTGCTAGATCAGACATTTTTTGGGCAGGATCCAGCCCACTGGTTGTTGGTTGCTGACCCCTGCTTTGCAACTGGTAGTGTCCTGCAGGGCAGACAGCATCTTGTAGGAAAGCTGGTCCCAGGCAATCATTATTGTATTCCATTTGTGATCACTGTTGTTTATAATTAATTTGACCAAAGTTCAAATTTGCAGTTGGAAATGAAACAAATATTTATTTTTTTTTTGTTGAAAATTTGTTGAAATTTAATTACAGATATTCTGCAATTAAAAAATAGTAAGTTTAGATGGCAAGCACATTTTTACAGGTAACTTAATTTCACTTTGTTGGGTATTACATTTATATAAAATTTCTAAATCAATGGAGTTTGTGCAGATTTTTACCATGGTTTGAGAACCTATAGTAGATGTTTTTAAAAAACAAATACTTGTTTCTTTAAATTGAAGAACAGTCTTGAAAAGTCTTTTTTATAAAGAATTAAAAATAGTTACTAGCAAACTGGCTTCTGAATGATACTGATTTATTTTAATGTTCCCCTCTGAATCATTTTTTAAACACATTCTGCATAGTGTGGCTTATGGTTGGAGACCACTGCATAGCTTCTGAAAGCTCAAGGTCAGTGACTAAATATCAAGGCAGTTTCATTGCTATGTGTTGTGTATGCTGTAACCTCTTTGAGGCAATAATTAAAAAAAATCTTTATACTGTACTTAACATGCTTTGGGACCCTTGGTAATAATTCGCATAGACTTTTTAGTTATCATAGAGAAGTAGGGCCGGAAGGGACCTCCAGAGGACATCTAGTCCAAGCCCCTGCCTAATACAAGATCACCCGTATCCAAAGCATCCCATACATTCAAACTATAATCTAAACTACATAAAACTAAACCTTTTTAATAGAAGTTTGAAAACCATCTCAGAGTATCTGGAAGAGGAATTATTTTTTATGTTTTTAATTACGTACAACCTTATCCTAACAATTTAACTGAATAATAGTGGGGTTTTCTTGCTTTGGTTTTGAGACTTCCATATCTCATAACTGACAACTGTGTCTGGAACTGCTAAACTTTCCAGCTTTAATGGGTTTAAAGTGGAATAATGTGTTTTGAAGAGCAAGAAAACAAAAATATGTTACTAACCCAGGGAGACTTGGTTTTAACTATCTGTTGGTCTAAGGAGAACACATTACTTTTATTAAAAAACAAATTTCATTGTCTTGAACGTGTTGTCTCTGAGTTTTTGTTTTTTTCACTGTGGATCCAGGGCTCTATTATTAAACTTTGTCTGACTGCTGATTTTTTTTTATTACCTTTCAGCATAACATGTGTATCTGAGATGCAGAGAGCCTGTAGCAGAAGGCTTTGGACAATTCCAAGTTATGTTTCTCCCAACCATAATAAAAAGTGGACAATGAAGGCAATTGTATTTATTTCCTTATGGACGTTGATTTCTTTGCTTTGTTGTCAATTAGCGAATGCGGCGGAACATGATGATGTAGTAAAGCATGCAATAAAGCTGCATCGTGGGAAAGGAGCTGCTGTCACTCAGAGAAGACAGTGGGTCTCAGAAAACTGCAGAAAATTGTCTGGGCTCCTTCGTCAGAAAAATGTGGTCCTTAATAAACTAAAAAATGCAATAAAAGCAGTGGAGAAAGACTTGAGGCTATCAGATGAAGAGAAATTATTTCGGGTACATACATTTGAAATTTTCCAAAAGGAGCTAAATGAAAGTGAAAACTCTGTCTTTCAAGCAATCCATGGACTGCAAAGAGCTCTTCAAGGTGATTACAAAGATGTTGTAAATATGAAAGATAGTAGTAGACAGCGATTGGAGGCCTTGAGGGAAGCTGCAATTAAGGTTAGTGATTTAAAATTTTCTATGGAGGTTAATATGGGAAAATTATTAGCAATTTTTCCAGGTGTATAGTAATATGTTTTTAAATACTTTTTAAAATGCATTAAAAATGTGGAGCTACAGCAAATACACAACACTTTTATTAAAAATGGAATTTTGAATGAAGCTAGAATAAATTTGTTTTCTTTAGATCAGTTGATTCTCACTCGGGGGTGCCATGGCACCACGGGGTGGCTTCCGATCCTTTCAGTGATGCCAGGAGTGCCACACAATGTTAGCACTTTTAGGTGTGCAAACATGATTTGCAAGATAAACCCAGAAATTTCAAAAGAGGTGTCCATAGTGTCGAAAAAATTCAGAGTTGGGTTCCTCTCTGGTGAGCCACAAGTCTCCCACCAGATCATTCTTGTTATGGTGGGCTTGTGAAAAGTTGGGTAGTGTGTAGTTGACAACAGGTTTCTAACCAAACTCCCAACATCCTTGCTGCCAGTATTTTGTGGGCAGGCAGGAACTGGCTTCTGTGGCTTATCACTTTCTGAAGCTCTGGCAATCATATCGCTGACAGGATTTTTGATCATTTCACTACATGCCTGCAAAGTTCTAAATAGTAGTGAAGCTCTTCAGAATCATAGAAAATTAGGGTTGGAAGGGACCTCACTCAAGGGGTCATCTAGTTTAAACCCCTGCTCAAAGCAGGACCATTCCCAACTAGATTTTTCCAGCCAGGGCTTCATCAAGAGCAAGTCTGCTCCCTTTTGGGGTCTCTGGTGCGCCAGCTGGAGGAGCTCCAGGCCACAGTCCAGAGACTGCATGCCATCAGGGACTGCGAGCAGGAGATAAGACTCCTACTGCCAGGCCCTTCTCCCCCGGGAGGCAGAGGGTAGACCACAGTCCCCCTCCACGCCAAAGGAGGACTTTGGGACCTCCTGCTGTGTCCAGCCAGGTGCATGGACCACGGTGGGCAAGGG